TTCCTGAGCACCTGGGTTCAAATCCCAGCACCCACAGTCTGTAACTCGAGTCCCTGGGGATGCAACATCCTCTTCTGAGGATGCCTCCTCAGACATCAGGTAGATACACAGTGCACCTTCGTACCTGAAAGCAAAACACCCATTGCACAAAAAATAATTCATTATGCCTGACATTGCTGCTCTACACAATGACCAGTCTTCTGTGGCTAGAACCTTCAAAGACTGGAACTCAACAAGGGTCACATTGCATGTGTGAGGTGTCCAGAAAGGGTCCTTCAAAACACCCACATAAGTGATTCAAGGCTCTCCTTTCTGCATCTGTTGGTAATTTCTGGGCTACCATTTCTGATTTTGAGGATTCGTGAAATTGTTAAGATTCTGACTGCTGGATCTTTTCTTCCCCACTTCTTATTTTACTAGACTTTTATTTTGTTGCATTGCAAATTCAGAGAAATAAAGGCAGGAAAGACGAAGAGACAGATATGTACCTCCTGAAAAGAAAGTATCTGACAGGGCAGGGGTCACAAATGCTCACTTTAAAGAGTGTGGCTCCTCGGCTGACACCACAGTCAGGCGACAGCAGGGATGGCGCACCTTAATGCCTTTTATTTCATCCTCCCAACAAGCAGCAGTGGCAGTGTGGTTGCACTGAGTGGGCTCTCAGGCAGACAGGGCAGGGCAGGAGCTTCTGTCCATGCTCTGGACTCAGACAAGGTGAAACTAACATTAAAATCTACCCTTAAATGGTGCTGGCAGGCCTAAACAGGGAAAAATAAGTGTTCAGAATGGTACCAGGATGTTGCATGTCAAGTTCAAAAGAGTTATGCTGGGGCCAGGTGTAGTGCTACACGCTCATAAGCTCAGCACTCAGGGGCACAAGGCAGAAAGAGGGTGAATTAGGGCCCCATCTGCAAATACTAGGTCAACCTGTGACAACGAGAATGTGTCTCAAAAAAAAAAAAATCTCTTGGGGCTGGGAATATAGCTCAACAGTAGCATATTTAAATTAATATAGAATTTTGCTCAGTATGTGAGGTCTCAAGATTGATTCATAGCAACATACACACACACTTAATAGTACATATTACAAATGTTTTTTTAAATTAAAACAATACATTTATTTTCTCTTATGTTTATAGATGTCTTGCCTGCATGTCTATCTGTGTATCATGTGTGTGCCTGATGCCAAAAGAGGATGGTGGATTCTCTGGGACTGAAATTACAGAGATTATGCGCTGCCATACTGGCGCTGTGTCTCAGACTTGGTCCTTTGGAAGAGCAGCCAGTGGTTAACTGCTCAGCCATCACTCCAGCCCCATAGCACTACCCCCCCACCTTATTTATGTTCACTTTGAAACAGGATCTCATTATGTAGCCCTGACTGCTCTGGTACTCACTATGTAGAATAAGCTAGTTTCTGCCTCTGGAGTGCTGGGAAGAAAGGTGTGTACTACCATGCCTGGTCTTGTTTGTTTTCAAAGTTTATTTTCATTATTTTTAATTATTTGTAGGTGTGTGCATGTGTTCGTGTGTTTGCATACGCACCCATGAGTACTGGTGCCCTTGGAATGCAGAGGCCAGAACCCAGGGAGCAGGAGTTACAGACCCTCTGAGCCATCTGACTCAGGTGTTGGAATAAATCTGAGTCAGAAAGTGCTCTTAATCACTGAGACATCTCTTCAGTCCCTTTGGTCTTGTTTGTTTATTGAGATAGAGTCTCGTTATATAGTTGGCAGTAGTCTTCCTTGACTGAGCCGTCTTCCTGCTTCTGCCTCCCAAAAGCTGGGATTACAGGTATATGTACCATCATGCTTGAAAAATACCTTAAGAGGACAGAGGCAGCTCCAGATCCTAAAACTCCAGTTATTTGACTCCAGATGCCGTGCTCTTTACAAATGCATGGGGATCCTGGGGCATGGCACTTTTGACGCTGTAGTCCTGTTTTAAACTACAAGTCTTTTTAAAAGTAAGACTTTTTACATCTATATTTTAATTTGTGTGTGTGTGTTGGGGTGTGTGTGCACATGCCATGGTTCGCACGTGGAGGTTAGAGGACAAATAGGGGAACTTGGCTCGCTCCTGTTGTGGATAAAAACATGTTTTTGTTTTGGTTCCAGGTGTGGGATGTGGGACTGATTCAGATGGTCCACAGCAGCAGCCTATTCACTTCATGTGGGCTCTGAGAGGAGCTGTTTGGCAGCTGCAGATAGTTTAAATCTGAGGACTCTGGAGAAAGAATAAATGCCAGAGCCCAGAGAGTGTGGAGCTTGGAGAAAGAACAAGGTGGCTGCTGCTCCTGCTTTCCCCTTGCTGCTCCTGGTTGCTACTGTGAGACAAGAAGTTGGAGATTTCCTGAAACGAGGACTGGGCTGGCTCCAAGGAACCCAACGACCCCAACTAGCAGGAAGCAGCTAAGAGAACTGTGTTTCCTCTCCCACTAACCCTTTCTCTCTCCTACCTGGTGTTGGGTGTTGGAAGGGATTGGGGTGGAGTAGGGAGAAAGAGAGAAAAAATGTAAATAAAGCATTTTTTAAAAAGTACGCCAATACTCTCCTATCAGATGTATCCTGGGGAACGGAACTTGGGGTGGCATGCATGGCAGCTGCCTGCTGAACCATGTCACTGGCCTGTGATCTTTGGCTGTTGTTTGAGACAGGGTCACAGCAACCCAGGCAGGCTTCAAGCCTGATACGTAACCAATGACCTTGACAAACTCCTGATCCTTGTGCCTCTTCCCATGTGCTGGGATGATAGGTGTGCTTCCCCGGGAGAGCCCAGGCAAGTCTTCACCATAATCAACACCATCACAGTGAACTGTGTGGATCCCTATTTAGGTCTTGCTACATTTGGTCTCTAATATACACCTTCTAACCTGCCACTGGGAATTCCCATAATTTTTACAAAGTTGACAGCATTTGGTTGGTTAATTATTTTCACCTTCCTCAATTATGCTAGGCTGACAGCATTCTATATTAGGAACTTGCCTTTGATAAAACATAAAAACAGCCCTGTGATTTGAGATAAATTTGAATCGCATCTGAGCTAAAGGTGTGATGATAATTCTCAAACCTTTACTATGCTAAATTTCTACTAGAAAGTATAAAATGTACAAGGGACACACTTAACATTTTGAGTGTAGTATGCTTGCTATTGTGGGATCTTTCATTTTTACTTTCGTTTTTTTGGTGTCTGTAAATGCACGCATCCTATGGACAGCTTGAATGTAATATTATATCGTGTTCAGAAAACCATGATAAACAGTCATGGAATTCCAAATTCAATTCAAAACTCCCAAGGCTTGAATGAGACAAGGTCCCACCTGGACTTCCCACCCTCCTTTGTTTATACTACAGAGATTACTGTCATTATTACTTGTAAGGTTTGGCATTTCTTTTGAGTCAGGGTCTCCCCATGTAGACCAGGTTGGCCTCAAACTTAAGGAGAGCTTTCTGCATCTGCTTCTCTAGTGCTGAGATTAAAAGTGTGTGCCATGGTCTGGAGAGATGGCTCAGAGCACTGGCTGTTTTTCCAAAGGTCCCGAGTTCAATTCCTAGCAACTACATGGTGGCTCACAACCATCTATAATGAGATCTGGTGCCCTCTTCTGCCATGCAAACAGAATAACAAATAACAATTCTTTTTAAAAAAAAATTCAAAATTAAAAGTGTGTGCCAAAATGCTGGGCAATCATATCTTCTTAGAGTCAAAATATCTAGAACCCAACTGGTTCTAAGCTTTAGGGCTATGCTTTGTCCAAATCATGGAATCTAGCTCATTGCACTGTCCTTTTAGTGCTGGCCTGGCTGTTCTTACCTTTAGTCTTCTAAGCCCTACATGTGGCTACTATCACACCGTAGTTAGCAAACTTAGGCCAGATTATGTTGCATTTTTTTTATTTCACCCAGAGCACAAGTACAAATCCTTGCACTGGCCTACACTCCTTCCATCCACCATCAGCTCCTACTCCTTCCTCTCCTTCCTCTTCAAGTTCCTGGAACTTAGCAAACATTACTGAGATGATGAGCCTTGCAGGTGGTGTTCTGGTCTGGAAAATAACTCGGACATCCATGTAGCTTACTACCTCAATTCTCCAAGCTTCCCATTAAAACATCACCTTTTAAAAATGCGAAGTCTTTTCTTAAAACTCAGGTTAAAAAAAAAAAAAAAAGTCTGAGTGGGGTGTGGTGGTGCAAGCCTGAAATTTCAGCATTTGGGAGACTAAGGCAGGAAGACCCTAAGTTCTAGGGCAGTCTGGGCTACAAAAGTTCAAAGGCAGGTTGAGCTACATAAGTGAGAGACTGTCTCAAAAACCAAACCAAACTAAAAGAACCATTTCTGAGGGTGCAGCAACCATGAGCCAGAATTCCTTAATTCAATCCCTACAATCCAGGACTGTTTAGGCTCCTTCCCAGCTCACATTATTTTCGTTTGCCTCAATTTTCCAGTTTATGATATTAATCTGCTCACACCTGCTTGAGGCGGCTTTGTAGGATTAGAGAGGACAGCGTAGGTTCAAGGTGGCTCAGTGTCAAGTGTCAAGTACTGTCTACCCAGGACAGTAGACTTCCGGGCCTTTAGGGACTGCCTTACTAAGGAGCCAGCTGTGCCTCTGCAAAGATTGTCTCCTAGAAGATAAAAAGACGGCCTCACAGATCCCCAGGAGAGCACAAAGTGTTCGCCGAGGTGGCCCCAATCCTTTTTAACAGAGAAAACAGTACTGCTCGCAAACGCCCCGAATCACAAGTTTCCTGGTCGTCGGCGTGGCTTACTGCGAGGAGCGCTCTGCAAACAGCAAACTACTAGACCTAGAGGATGTTTTGCAAACAATGCCGGTAGGAGGTGGGGAACAACTTGCTGACAATAGGCGCCGGGCAAAACCCAGACAGAAATGCCAAGCCTCCAGTCCCGCGGCGTCCGGCGCACCACTTCCCCGAGGACACCCCAGGCCGATCCACCCCAGGGCCCTGTGAACCCGAATCCGGGTGTCCGCCGGCACTCACCATCCTGCGACGACTGCGAGGTCAGAGCCCACGAGTGGTAGTCTGCCCGCCCACTCACCTGCGAGCGCCCATGTTTCTCCTATTTCCTGTCCCAAGGCGTCTAGAGCCAGACTTGCGGCGCCGGCAACGCCCCCGCCCCCACAATTGCCCCGCCCATTCACTACCGGAAATGCTCCCGCCCGGAATCTTTTTCCCGACTTCCCAGCCTCACAATATGGCGTCACTTCCGCCTGCGCCAGTTGCTCGAGTGCGCGCTTGAAGTCTAGGTCTCGCGAACGCGCCAGGAGCGTCTCGGAGGCGGGAGCGCGCTCTGTAGATGACAACAAATCTGTCGCGCAGTGTCGGAGTCCGCCTCTCCTCAGCCGCCTGCCCTCTGGTTCTCGTGCATACCCTCTACGGACCGACGGGGCGCTTCAGAAGCTCTGGTCTTGCGGCACCGGGTTCCGCCGAGCTCCCTGTCCCCACCGGGCCTAGTGTGCGAGCGACACGACGCGGACCATGGGGTCGCCCTGAGGGACAGCGGCGCTGAACCAGCATGCAGCGGCCACCGCGAATCTAGACCCCACCGCAGCCTGGGGACGCCGGCCTGACCCCGAGGCGCCGCCGCTGCCTGGAGCCCCAGGGTCAATCCCCGAGTCGCCGTGGCGCGCAGCCCCAGCCCCTCCGGCCGCCAGCCCTCACCATGCCTTGGCCATTTTCAGAATCTATCAAGAAGAGGGCCTGTCGGTACCTCCTGCAGAGGTACCTGGGCCACTTCCTGCAGGAGAAGCTGAGCCTGGAGCAGCTGAGCCTGGACCTGTATCAGGGCACCGGGTCCCTAGCCCAGGTCCCCTTGGACAAATGGGTAAGCTGCCGTCATCCAGCAGGGATAGGGACTTGAGCTCCTTAGGGCAAGACCTGAGTGATTGTCATCCAGCATCAGTGACGTTCAGTCCCTCTTTGGGAATTGTTTGGGTTCTAGTGTGGCCGGGCTCAGGGAAGTGTGTAAAGTGTAGCAAGTTTGCGCTCCTAGATCACGTGCTCCTATTTAAACCGTATAATGGAGGCACTCACCATGCGAACAATCGAGTCCTTGGCGGGGTGTCTGTGAAGCAGGCCCAGGGAAGGAGGTGACCAACCCTGCCCCTTGGGCTGTGAGTGTCTGCGGTGTTCAGAGGCAGACGAACCCTAGCTCATTGGATGACGTTCAGAAAGAGTAAAGATGAAGAGGGGGTGATAAAAATCCCCAGTTATTTGTTTTGGTTTGGATGCTGGCACACCGTGTTTATCGGGTTGATTGATTATCTTCATTCACTGTGGGGTGCCTGGAAGAAAGTTAGGTGAAGGCCTCCTCCGCCTGTTTGCCTGCTTTGCTTGATTATACATTCACAGGCCAATTTCACTTCCCCAGGTTGTGAATGCTTGTGCGGCCCCAGTAGTGCTGCTTAGATTTGCCTTTTTCTTCACGTGATAGATCGTCAGGTCGTAAACGCAAATGTTGCAAAAGCTCCGAAGCTGCAAACTCAGCCATATTTTTTTTAAGAGCCTGTTTCCTACTGGAAGCTGGGAGTTGGCTCACCTGTGCCTCCTGTGTATTTAATTCACCAGATACAGTTGAATTTGCATCAGTGGGTTAGAATGCCTCATTTTACTTAAAGGTCTTGGGTTTGTAGTTTGCCACTGAAAAGCTTAAATTGTGGAAACTTTTGCAATTTGTGTTAAGAGGTATGATACAAGGTAATTGTATCAAAACTAGGTGACTTAAATCATAGAGAGTACACAAGATAGTTTAAAGAGCTCTAGTTTCAGTAACAGAAAGACCTTGTCCTACACCAAAGTAGTTCCAGGCTTTCACAGTCAGTTGAAAGATCGTGAGTATAGTAATTAACCCTAGTTAAGTATCATAAAAAAACAGTACACTCCATGCATGCCACGTACTGTATTACTGCATAGCTACTATTTTTTTCTTATCAGCAAATGGGAACTTTTTTTTTTTTTTTTTTTTTTTGAGGCAGGTTTATCATGTAGCCCTAGCCCAGGGTATCTTAGAACTCACGACAAAGCTCTCACCTTAGCCTCTGTAGTATGGTTGTGAATGGGCTACCCTTTTCTTTTCTGTGACTAAACTGTCTTATTCAAAGGCTTGAGGATGGGCAGGGGCTGAAGAGGTCAAGGGGATCTGACTTCCTTGCTGAAAATTGAATAGGGATTCTTGAGGCTTGGATGTTTATGTAGGAGAGACTTTGGTGTGCAGTGCAGTGCTCTTTAAATATGCTACTAAGCCTAGCAGGTGGATACTATTATTTCTGCTTTATAAATGGCACTTCATACTTTGCCCTGTGTTACAGCTTCAAGTGTTACAACAGAATTCAAATCTGACTCCGGAGCCCACGGTTTCTTTATTAGGTAGCATAGTATAAGACAACTGAGAAGGCATCCAGTGTTCCCTGAGCATCAGTCTGATTTGGTGTTATTCTAGGCTTTTTCATTTGTGTGGTTTGTATTTCATTCTCGCAGGAGATCAGAGGTGTGGATATCTGAATTTCATAGTTTGACTACAAGGTTCCTGGCAATGTACTTTATGGATAGGCTTAACCTGAAGATTGTTTTGTTTTCTGTAAGGGCAATGTCAGCCAAAATAATATCAAAGCTTCCAAAAATATTTGGTGATTCTCTTTATTGTACTTAGTGATGATTAGTATAAATCAGAGTGGGAAAAGTGGATGCAACTGTACAAAGTTCAGGTTCCGAATTCAGTTACTTTGGATACTTGATTTTTAATGACTTTTAGGACTGAAAAAGATGCCTACAGAAATTCATATATGCTAGTGGGGGACTTAAGTGAGTGACATTACATTTCAATTATTAAAAAAAAAAGGTTTATTTTCTCTGTGTGAGATACAGAGATACACACACACACACACATACACACACACTCACAAAGCGAGCATGTGTGTGTGGGTATTTATGGAAGCTGGAAGGAGATTTCAGATCCCCTATAGCTGGAGTTACAGGTAGGCTGTGAGCTGCCCATTGTGGATTGTTGGGAACAGAACTCAAGTCTTCTGCAAGAACAGCAAGGTTTCTTAACTGCTGAGCCATCTCTCTGTGCCAGCATTTCAGTCCTTAACTTGCAGTTATTCAGAGGAATTTGTTGGAATTGACAGCTAATATAATCAGTTATTCTTGTTAACTAATCGGAAGGTTGTGTGCCGTGTGTGTGTGTGTGTGTGTGTGTGTGTGTGTGTGTGTATGTGTGTATGTCTATGAAAATACATTTAAACCTAATTCTTTCAAATTCTTTGTCCATAATATTTTTTAGACAGGTTGGGACAGTCTTTCCATATGTCAAGTCATTTACAAACCTGTGTATCTAATGACTTTGAAGACTAGACTTTTTGTTACTTTTGGTTTTTGAGACAGGATATTGGTAGGTAAACCAGCTAAGCATTGAACTCAAAATCCTACCTAGTCTACCTTTGGAATTCTGGTGTCTATGTTTTCAACAGAAATGGTTTTAAACAAAACTCATGGACCAATGGAAATATTTCCAAATAGCTTTAAAGGATAGTACAAATATCTTTTGAAAAGCAGTTATTTTCTTTACTTCTTTTTAAAAGTATTAGCCTTATGTGGAAAGTCAGGTTAATTTAAGTATGTTGTGTGTTTTTGGAACTACCAGGTAGCATAGATTTGTAGCCATTTGATGGCACCTGGGTGGTTGTCATAATTAGTGCTTCTTTCCATAGACGGAAGCTGCTTATCTCTAAACCCCACTTATAAATATCTGGCAGTGAGGGAACCAGGAAGCTAGAGAGTTACTGTCACTTTACCAAGACTCCACTGTTCATAAAGACATGCTTTCATTCCTTAGAATGTGTGCTGAACTCGGTTTCAGCTTGCTGAAATGGGGTGCATAGCTGTTGGTCTTTCTGTACCAGTTTGGGATATGGCCTGAAAGTAGTTCAGTGTCCCTGTGCCTATTAAGTATTAGGATATATTTAAATCTAAAATGTGAAACATTGATATAGAATGTCTGACTTTGCCCTCATACTCCTATGAGTTACCTGTTGTACTTTTGGATAGATATACTTCACTTTGGAGATCATGGACCCAGACAAATCTTGGAAGTAGAGGGGAGACAGAGACAGAGCATTTGGAACTGTGCTGCAGTTGGAATGGGCTACCTTGCAGTTTTATGAGCTCCTGGGTCCTAGAAGTGGGCAAAAAGGAAAAGAAGGCATTCTGTCTGGTGAGAGTGACTCTTTAATTTTCAATTCCTGAAGACTAGGAATTTATTTTAATTATTTATATAATGAGGGAACTTTACAAAGTTTTTTTCCATTTAATCAGTGTACACACACACATACATGAACATGTCACAGCATGCCTGTGGAGATTAGAGGACAACTTGCAGGAGTTGGTTTTCTTCTTCCACCTTATGTGTTCTGGGGCTCCAACTCAGGTTGACATGCTAGGTGGCAGGAGCCTTTACTCACTGAGCTGTCTCTACTGTCTATTTTAATTTTTTTAAACGAAGGCCTTTTTTTTGGTTTCACTGTGTGTGTGTGTGTGTGTGTGTGTGTGTGTGTGTGTGTGTGTGTTTCTGAGGCAGGGTTTCTCTGTGTAACAAGACAAGCCCTGCCTGTCCTGGACTCAGTTTGTAGACCAGGCTGGAATCGAACTCACAGCTCTCCTTCCCTCTGTCTCCGGAATGTTGGGATTAAGGGTGTGTACCACCAAGGCTAGACTTATGAAGCCTCTTTATTAATAGGAGTAATATAGTTATGGAATGTTAGCATGTGACACTCTCCTGGGCTGGATGATGTGACAGTGAAGTAAACTGAAATCCTTTTCTCATGAGAACTCTGTATGCTTAGGAAGGTAGACAGGAATGAATTATTACCCTGATACTTTTAATTTTACTTTAATAATTTTTATTACTTTGGTACTTATATTTTTTAGGTATATGTGTGCTGGTAGTAAAAACTGATTTCAGTTCAAGAAACACTAATTTTCAGTTATTTGCTAAATGTTAGAGACTAGAATATGCTTTTTTTTTTTTCCTGACTATATGTATGCAACTTATTGGTGAAAATTGAAAACAGAATGACCCTGAGCAGGAGAGGCTGTCTTCAGTTAAAGTGGTGCACCATCATCTCTGAAAGCATTAAACCCCATAGGATCGCTCTGAGGACTAGGGCCGAGAACGTTGGCTGGGTCAGTTTGACTGCAGATTGATAGTTTTCTCCTCCTTGTAGAGTAAACTTAGAATTTTTACAGGACTGAACTTTGGAGTTTCTTATTTGGTGTACATGGGATTTTAGCTAAGTATGGAGACATCTGTTTAAGTGTAACCTAATTGTGTATCTCATATTTAGAGGAATTGTGTTGTAGCTTAGTGGGCCCAGTGTAAATTCTTGAACTATTGACTCTAGTTAGAACCACCCCATTTTTTTTCCTTTTCATATTATCCTTCAATACTGTAATCAACCTTCAAACCACTACAATTAGGTGACTAATGTAGCCATACACTTGTGGTAGTAAATTTGGTGTACGGAGAAGAGAGTCCTGTCAAATCCAGTCTCTTAGGTGGTTTACTGATGCTGACAGATTCCTGAGGTGCAAAGGCTAAGTTGTTGCTGCTGTATACTTGAAAATGCTTTGATGTATTTTAATTGTTCATATAAATGTCAAAACTCATATAAGCTTGCTGGAAAAATTCGGGGAGTATGAAGCAATCACCCTTAAACCTAGCTTGTGTGCAGTTGGAAATAGGGCAACCAGATTTCAGATTTAAATTATGGAAATACTTAATACATAAATAAGCATTTCTGAGCTTACCTTGTCTATTTTATACGGGAG